GCGAGAGAGAGAGAGAGAGAAAGAAAGAAAGAGAAAGAGAGAGAGAGAAAAGGAAAAGTAAACTCTTCCTCTATATTTGTTTGTTAACTTTTTTATTCGAGAAGAAAAGAAAATCATACATATATGTCTATGGACAAAAAAACGAATCTGGTATACTGTATATTTTCTTATAATAGATCGAATTAGATTAAATATTTAATATGAACAAACATAAACATAATTAGTATCAAAGTTTTGATAACAGGTGAAAGTTGAAACGTAAATAAAAATTGTTGATTTTATCATATTTATTTTAGTCAAATATATTTAGTGTGTTTGAGTCAAATATAATCTACGGATAAGATGCATGATCGTGCGTATGACTTCGCATCGCGACGCTCTTTCTCTCTCTCTCCTTCCCCCCTCTCTCGTGCGAGAAGTTTCTTCGATAATACATAGTTAAAGGATCGCGGCAGGTAGCTAATTCGGACGTTTGCGAGAGAAGAGGGTACTTTGGTATTTCGCCGTTGACGCCAGTCTGGACCCGCGCCGGAATGCTCTTACGTCACACGTGGCTGCGTTATGAATTTTTGGTAGAACGCGCGCCAGGTGAGAGAGCGAGGGAGAGAGAGAGAGCAAAGAGATACGGAGAACGAGGCTTTAATCCGAGAGCAAACGAAAGATACGATAATAATATTTATCGGCGGCGGCGACGGCGGCGGCCGCGGCGGCGGCCCGGGCGGGCGGGGAGGAATGTCGATGTACGGTATATTTATTTCGGGCGGAATACTGTGGCCATGATGTCATCGTCGATTTTCGAGAGATTGCCTGTGTGGCTGGGGCCGCGCGATTCTAGTTTCGAGATCCCTTGCGTCTAAAGGCCCCTCGTCTTTCGTCGTCGTCGTCGGCGTCGTCGGCGTCGTCGTCGTCGTCGGCGACACCTGCTTTCTCGCCTCGGTGCGCAACGTGAAATTCGCCGAGTCTATTTAGCTGATTATAGAAAGATTCGGAAGATTACAGAAAGATTCTGCAGTATTTTTGTTGTTTGTTTTTGGATTAAATTGATACATATAATTTTTTACGTTCACGCGCGCTGCATCTACTTTCTCGGCGAGAAAGAAAATTCGATTCGGAAATCTAGAGAGATACGATCTGTGTAATAAATACTTGGTGCTGAATTATCTGCACTCAACAATTTATCGCTTGTGTCGTTGAACGATTAACTAGTTATCGAGCCTCTTAAAAATAAAATTTCTATCCCCTATAAAATTCGCCGTTGTAGAGACGCAGCAAACATGTTTACCCCGGTAAACATGTTTATGCTGGAAAGGTGTAGTGCGCCTATCTTCCTAAAGGTGTGGATACTATCCTTTCGCGTATCTCACAAATTAACCAACGCCTTGGTGTAATCCTCAAATGCGTTTGTACGCGTGGGAAATAAGATATCCAAACCCAGATCGCTGCCAAGAGATATAATGTGTGGGTTCTCACATTCTTAAAATTCTTGAAATATTCCGAGCAACGTTCCCATCAAAGATACACATTCCTGATAGTCGACGGGGATTACAATTTTTTTTCTCTCACGTATTTTTTAAGACTCGTGGATAAAAATTGCATGCTTCCTCTCCTTCGCGTTTTATAATAAATTATTTGAAGATAAGTATTTCTTTCAACAAATACTGTTCAGTTTGAGAAACACTTTTTGGAAACGCAATTAAAATTTCCTATTATTCAATATCGGTATGAGATTGTCGTAGCTTTATGTTATCACAAGTCTTTCATCATCGGTGATTTAATTATGTTGTTATCTAACTATTACACTTTCTAATATCTAATCTCCGAAAAAGTGATATCTTTATCGTCTAAATAAAAACAATTGATTTGAAGACCAGATAAATAACAATGCTGAAATTCCGTAAAAATACCTTCACAACTCTCATTTTTCACTGAATATTCCAAGCGCATTATTCCACTAATGAACTTCTCGTTCTTACGGCAAATAAGCCGCGAACATTTTCCGCGGAAATGTATTTGCACGCGAAATATCGCAACGCCGTCCCATACCTGGGAGTAGTTTCACTCGCTTGGGGCTTCGGGCATTAGAGGAAACCCGCGGCTTCTTTCCTTGGGAGTTTCACGCGTAGATACGTGTCGAACGCACAGTATGTGCGTGCGTGCTTGCACACTCCCGCGCGCGAGCGCGAGCGTAACGCGGAGAGCCGGGGCTTGCATTCCGATGCAAATAACCCTCTCCGCCACCCGTCCTCGCCTTCTCTTTCTCTCTCTCGCTCCTTTCGTCTCTTCTCCGGCATTGCGCGAGGCTCTCCGCGCTCGTCAAGCGACGAATAAGCCGCGGCCAGTAGCGTCTCATCGCGACGTAGCGCCGCGATGCATACGATGTAAGTTCGCCAGATCCGCTAGCAAAATAAAAGATATATATTCTACCGCGGTTACCTAAAAACATAAGCATAGAATTATGCGTGTGAGAATCTGTTTATTATCACGTTTGCTTTACGCAATTATACATATGCTTCCTGGTACTTTAAAAAAAACGCGAATGGCTCGAATGGTCACCGTCACCAATATTCGATTCGAGATTTGCATATAACATTGAAATTGCTTTCACGCAAAACACGTAGATGCCAAGCGTATCACGTGATGTTTTTATGCAGTATAATAAATCAATGATATCTGAGTCAACACAGCATCGTGGAATTTATGATCGGAACGAAGGCGATACATATTTTTGCGCAACTTGCATGCCTGGCAATTTTATACATTTCCTTAATTTGATGTCGTCGAAATGTCGGAAATTTGCATCTCATCATTTTTTACATCTTAATGAATATAAATAAATTTATATTTTAATGAATACTTAATGAAATATTTTTCACTTACCGCGAGATCGAATAGCCATTCGATATCGCGCAATCTTAAAAGTCTATAATTTTTATGATTTATTCTGTTACGTTATTATGTAATGCGAGATTATATAAATGAAACGTATCGTGTATAGATCAAATGAAACACAATCAAAGGATTTCGCGTTGCTACAACACTTTCGTGATGACTTTCTGTGTTCCGACGATGAGTGGCCAAGACACGCTCGTGAGAGGATTATGACGTAATGTTCAGGAATTTCGAAAGTTTAGATAGGAATTCGCGAAGATGCCACGATTAATCTTGGGGAGTTTACTCAAAGTTACGCCATTCTATAATCGGTTTCTTCATTTTGAATTGCTACCGTGGTCAGAATTTTTAATAATACCGAAGAATGGGTTTAATCGGATAACTTCAAGAATTAGCATTAAGTAGTGACGCAAATATCTATTTTCATTCGTCTATATTCTTTTCATTGCAATTATTATTTTTGCGTCTTGTGGAAAGTTATAATTCTTTTAAAGAATAATGGCATTTCAACGTCTAGCGGCATTGCGTCTGTGTGTGTGTGTGATCAATGATTAGTAAAACTCATCCTCGAGTAATGAATAATCAACCAAATCATAAATCTCACGTTTATTCCGCGTACAGTCACGGCTTATCTCAATCCGCAATTCTCACGGTATTTGCGAGCATTCCAAGACCGAGAAAAATTCATTGCGCTCTTAGCGCTTGTGGAAGAAAAAAATGTCAATGCCTTATTAATGTCGTAATTTTTCTCTCGATATCTGCGAATAATCAGAATAATGGTCGCATCAACCAACGATAACAGTAAAAGTTTAGAATATATATCTCTCTTTTTACGACTATGATAATTCCGACATTTTATTATTATTCATTGATAATTGTAAAGCGTACAGTGATAAAAATGTCAGCACCTAATTAATGCCGCAGCTTCTAAGATTTGGAATTAATCAGAATAATTACGACATTACAACGTTACTCGATGATAAGACACGTGTAAAGTCAATGGAGAAAAAGTAATGTGACCACTGATCTTACTATTGAGAAGACGAATATTTTACATTTTATCAAATGCAGTCACCCCGCTCGATCCTTCGTTAATACCGAATCTAAAGTATCGTGCTTTCGCGGTGAAAGTATCAGTACTCGACTAGTATCGCGGTATCGTCAGCGTCCGTATCCGTCCGTGAGAGAGACAGGGAAAGACTCGAAAGTCGGAGCGATCTCGCGGTCCAGGAATTCCACAGATTTCGTGCGCTGCAGCGCAAGCAGCGTTCCAGGCTCGAATCTGACATTTTTCGGGCGGAAAGGGTCGCGCGCGCTTTTGCCTCGCTTTGCCGGCCTCCTAGAGATGTGCAAACCCCATTCTTCATGCGCTACCTCCCACCCTTTCGTGCGCTGCAGGCCCTATCCGAGCAGCACAGCATCCTGTTCCTTTCTCTCTCTCTTTCTCCTTCTCTCTCTCTCTCTCTCTCTCTCTCTCTCTCTCTCGCGGTCTCCCTTCCATCCTTCCCCTTTTTCTCTCTTTCTCTCTTGGCTCTCCGTGATGCCCCGTCGAGAGGCAGCGAGATGCGAGAGGAATGTTAATTGCCA